GCTTTAAATCAGTAACTTATTCTGGCCTATTGACCTTTATGTTATGTAGTTCCAGCAGATGGTTTGCTAGGATCGTTTGAACTGCCTCTTGTCTGTGTTGGAAAACAATACAGGAGAAGTTGTAGCTTTTCACACTCATCTGTGAAAAGCCGTAAACACGGCAGGAGTTCCTGGCTTGAGAGAGGGTCAGAGACAGCTCCTGGACTGGATGAGCAAAGATACGCCTTATTTGAATAAATTAAAGATAAGAATACGCCTTTTACTATAAAACTTTCTATACAGAAGTAACACATTAGATTTTGCGCTTGCAACTTCTCCAAAGACGTCTTTGCTTTTTGTTTGTCGTTTCCATCTTTTGTCTTTTTCTCTCTCAGGTAAATTCATGTGTTGTTTGTGCTCTGAGGTTTCTGATGTTTTGTGATGTGTTTGTCTGGTGATAGTATGCATCTGTCTTGAATAAATGCTGATTATTGTGACGCTATTATCTCTGCGTGATCTCAGTCTTTGCGCACAGCATTTTTCTGAACCCGGGCGTAAGAGAGGATTTAACGAGTCAAAAGGTTTTTAAAGTTCAAGAATTTTTCCTCTCTTAACATCACCTTATCATGTGTTCAATAAAGTTTGAATAAATTAGGAAAAGAAGACAAATCACATTGTAGGAACTCAGTTTCATTTATGTCAGATATAATCTGATTTGAGGCAACAGTGGAGAGGAAAACTCCTAATAAGGAGGCAGGAACAGCCAGCAGAACCTCAGCTGCTGTCATATTGTGTCTTATTTAGCCATGTACGCAGTTCTTTCAGTTACACCAGACATTTATCCTGTTTAAAAAAGAACAATAAGACATAAAGAAAAAAATGTGTTTTCTAATGGAAGGAAAGGAAAACATTAGGAGATCGTACTCCCCAATGGAGCTGATTACAAATGATGTCACCTTTGCTCATTCATATTTATAAGCGGTTGCCTGCATGTTCGAACAATTAGAGCACAAACAGAACGACGACATCTGAAATGATTATAACTTTGGAAGATGACGAAGGTCCTGGGAGCTTCGCTCGCTTCAATATGTTTCAATACTGAAACATGGTGTACCGCCGCTTCAATGTTGGTTGAAACGTAGAGGACTCAAAGTGGGTGAAAAGAAAACGGTGTTGGTAGAAACCACTCACTAGTACAAAGTTATCTGGGCCTATCCAGCCAGGAAGACAGGTGTCAAACTATTGATTTATTAATGCATTGGAATACATTTTTTTTCCCCATTGAATATCAATTCAGAATCATTTCAGATGTTGACATTCTGTTTGTACTCTGTCCAAACATCTGGGCAACTTGCGCATTTATGAATATAAATGAGCAAATGTGACGTCATTTCTGATCAGTGCCATTCTGTCAAGGCTGCGGTCATCATCAAAATGACAAAATGCAGGATATTTACCTAAATAATAGTCGAAATATAAATTTTAGCTTCAAATTGAAGTTGTTTTCATGAAAAGGGTTATTCTTTATTTTTATTATTTTTCTGATGAACCTGTTGGAACAGTTGGCAGCGTTTGTTGTCTTTACGCCACCATTTATGCACATATCACAATAACTTACTTCTTTCCCATAATTTCATCTGAGGTTGAAGTGGAGAGTTTACACAAATGATTGCAACCAGATCTGAACAGCTGGGAAAACAAAACCCCAATGCACAGTAGATACCTTTATTTTAATCTCCCTCAAAGGTTTTAGTGGAGGGCAGGATGTAAATAGGAAAAAAAAAAAAAGTAGTACAGATCCATCCATACATTCTGCACCTTGCCCCATGTGAACCCCGTCAGTATAAGTTGATAAATTGAACAGGACTCCCCTGACATCTCTGACAGCCTCCTTTTCATTCCTCCGTCGGCCCCGTCGCTCGCCCTTCTCACGCCGCGCCGAGGAAGAGGGAGGAAGTAATAGGATCGCAGGGCTACCTGACCCCCGGCACGTGAACAGCTGTGGCACACAAAGCAAAGAGGGAGCAGCCACTTAAAAAGGAAATGGAATGAGCACGGTGGAGGAACAGACTGGGAAGGTGGGAGCATAAGAGTGAGACAGAAAAGTGAAGAATGACAATAAGAAGCGCATGGAAGAAGAAAAAAAAAAAAACAAGTGCCCAGCCATGTGTGAAAGACATAATTGAAAATGTCAAAAGAAGTAAGGAATGACAGCAATGAACTGGCTGAGCGTGGCAGTGCAGGCTGTCAGTGAGCTACTACCTCCATGCTGAATAGCTTCTCCCTTTCTCTCATCTCCTGCATACATTCTCTGTTGCACACACTCACAGTTAAAACAACCAGCAATATTCTCCTGTACTCCTCCGATTTTATTCACGTGCTCTTAGTCTGTGCGGCTGTTTGCAGACCCACACATGTGCACTCAAAGCCTCTAAAAGTGTGAGGAGGAGCATACTCGTATAGACGGATTTCAAAGGGAAATGTGATGCTAGATAAGCACTTGACCCTGATGTCAGCTTTATCCCCTTCCCCCCCCCCTCCCCCCCTCCTGCTCCTCATTTTTCCTCTTTATGGGTTGCCCTCCATCTTCTTTTCATCTTTCAAGATGAAAACGAGATTCGCGGCCCATATTGGCCGTAGACGATGAGGCGAGTAGACGACTTATAATTCAGCATATCTGCCTGCTGTCAGGTGTGTTTTATCATGTACAGGTGCAGATTGGGGGGGAGGGATGGTGGACGTTGTCAGATTTCAGTGCAAACGCTTGAAAGCAGTCTGTAGCCATGCAAACTTATTAATCACTAGAAACTGAATGTTAATGAGCAAAGAGCTTTACTTCAACTTACACATATGTAACGCACAGTACAGAAAAAATCGATGGGAAAAAGAACCAGCAGGAAATTATATTTGAAAATTGTCAGTCTTCAAATGGTTTTACAGGAAAGGCTTTGTAATCTTCCATACTTATTTGTATTGCCTTGCAAAATTTTCCATGAACTTTTACAGGATAACTGCAGCTACAAACCCGAGTGGATTACTGGGAATTTTAAGTGACTGATCACAAAGTAGAACGGAAAGCAGAAGAATTTAACATGGTCTTCAGGTTATTAAAAAATAAATAAATAAAAAACAACGTTGACGTCCATTTGTTTGAGTCAATTTTTTTTCAGATACTACAAAATAAAATCCTGAGAAACTAATTGCAGTTACCAGCGAGAATTCATCAAACATAAAGACCCCACTTCAACAGTAAATCTAGGCATAGAAACCTTAAGTAGAGAAGCAACTAGAGACTCACTGTGATTCTGGAGAAGCTGCAGAGATCAATATCTCATGTGGGAGAATCTGTTGATAGAACAGCTATAAGTCATCCACACCACAAAATCTGACTTTTGTAGAAAAGTGGCAAGAGGAAAGCCATAAGAAGTCCTGCTGGATATTCATCAGGAAGCATTGAAGAAACACAGCAACCATGTAGAAAAAACTTACCTGGTCAGAAGAGACCAACATTGAACGTTTTAACCAACGCTCAAAATATGTGTGCATATACAGGAGAAAGAAAGAAAACTTGTTAGAGGCTGCAGCAGACTTGAGGCTAGTACGGAGGCTCATCTTCCAGCAGAGGTTTCTATGTTCTTTTGACTTCACACTCACAAAATAAATAATAAAAAGAAACATTGTAATTGGTTTAGTGTGCAAGTGCTACGAATGAACTAAAAGGTGGTTCTACAATTAAGCTCCTGCAATGACAAAAGCCACGTCCAAAATAATTTTTTATGCATTTGTAAATGCTACTTACATATCTGTAGTCACATTTACAGAACAGATTTCCCCCCCGCACTTGTTTTCACACCTTAAATGAAATCTCAATCCCACCATTGGGTATCCCTCCTCTAGCAGAGCAACAGCCCCAAACATACAGATCAATCATGTGTTAAACTGGCCTAGTCAAAGTCTAGATCTAAATCTTATGCGGAATCTGTGCTTTAGCAGAGCACTGTAAATACAGGAAAATACATGTAAGGATTGCGATAAGTATGAAATAAGACTTAAAAACGCAGCAGTTTCTCACTTGAATTCACATTAACATGTTTTAAATCTACTGCACGGTTCAGTGCAGTTTGAAGATAAAGATGCATAAGATCATTTAACGGGAAACATTTTTTCTTGATGACTTAAGGAACAGCACAAGTCCTTAATAATTGCTTAACATTAATATCAGTTCTAATTCTGCCCATCTTCTTGGAACTGAAAACAGTTTCCAAGCATCATTAATTAAGAAGAAAAAGGGGGCATTATGGTGGAACAGAGATGTGAGTAGATATAATTTGCATAGCCTGATGGGTGGAAATCACTGTGCAATGTACAGGCTCTCAGCACCTCCATGAATATTCATGTCTTCCATAGTCTACTAACACAGCACATCAAAAATGGATCAGCAGATCAGTGTGCGACACGGCAGCAGCATCCAGCTGAACTCCTCCACCATAGAATCTGTTTGGTGGGTTTAGATTTGCAGAGTTCAGAGTGTAGCAGTGAGTCAGTTTGCACAACAATTTAAGGGTAGAACTCTACAGAAATGCCATGGATGTCTTGCATTAAAGATACCGAGGCCCCCTGCTGAAGGATTCATGAAACTTTGAAAGGCTCGCCGCAGAACGACACACTCCAAGTCGGCAGTCCTGTGATGAAGCAAATGCCACTGCGGCTCTGTGAGATAATAACAGAACGTATCCTGCGGTGACGGTGAAGGTGAACAAGGTAACCCATCCTTTAACACTAATAAGTGTTTCCTTTTTGTTGCCCAAGGAAATGTATTTTACTTGCAGCACAACGCTGCCCTCTAAAAAGATCAGAAAGGGAAAGGAAAAGGGGGAGGAAGTTAGTGAAGGGGAAAGCGGAGGGAGGGAGAGGAGCAAATGGAGGCAGAAATGGCTGCAGGGTCGGGGGAGTTTATTTAAGACTCAAATTAAACATGCAGAGCAAAGGCGCCGACAAAAATTAAACCTTAATGACAAAATATTACCTCCATAATGGAAACTTGCACAATACACACGAGGCAACAAAGAAATTATGCATGCGTGTCTGAAGAAAATATCTCATCTTGCTTTTCATCAACCTAGAATATGACCCATGAAAAAATGTCCAAGTTACGTTTTATATTAAAATTACTTGAACAAAGAATGTTTCGCTGTTCAGTGTAATTCAGCTGGTTTTCAGTGTTGCTATTGCGCCAAGTGACTCATTTGGAATGTATATTCATGTGGCATTAAGAGAGGTGCACTGGATGTGAATATTTCCTTTCATGTCGTCTTCCAAAGTGTGCCGGCAGGTGTTTCTAGACGTACCCGGCTATGTCCAGTTCTGCAGCGTCTAAACAGCCTGTGAGCTTCCCTGAAACACAACAGTGTGGGAACTGGGCTGGCAAGAGGAGAGAGTGCAGACACAGCAAACAATGCTGAGACAGGGGACAGCCAGTAATAGGATAAGTGGCAGGTTGAAAATGTGTCAACCGGAATGTGAATGCCATGTTAGCTATGCAAATGAGAGGGAGGACCCATTGGCTTGGCACACACGGCTCATCTATTCCACACAGCGGCCTGCCATGGTTATATCCATCAGTGGCAGCCTGGGCTCTGCAGAGCTTTCTACTGTAAATTATACTTTAAGGATAATTAAATCAGATCTGGTCAAAAATATTCATTCTCGACTGGCAGGAAAAAAAAAAAAAGAGTTTTACAAAATGTTGCACATGGCTAACGCTGGCAGGCTAACATTGGATACGTGAGCAAAAAACTTTGGTAGCTTGTTTGTTTGTGACAGAAATGCAAAACACCGTGAACAGCTGTTATTTTAACATGCAATTTTTGTACTGAGGCGAATCAAATTGAGCCAGGATGACAAAATAAGAATTCATACCAAGTATTTCTTTTCATTTTCTCACATTTCAACCACAAGTCTTGGTGTTTTAGCAGAATTTTATGTGATAGACTGACACAAAGTAGTACATAACTGTGAAGCAAAACAACACGTTTTGTAAATGTTTCTTTTTTTTGTTGTTAATTATAAATCAGAAAAAGTAAAAAATTCTCAGAATGAGTGGAGTGTGTCTTTGAACAGTGATTTTCAAGTTCTCCCAGAAAATTCTCAGTTGAAATTAGGTCTTGTTTTTGACTGGTATGTTTAGGTTGTCGTCATGCTGGACGGTGAACCTCCAGCCCAGTTTCAATTCTTCGCCAGCCTCTACCAGGTTTATTTCCAGGACTAACCGTATTGACTTCATCAGTCTCCACCTCAGCAGTTCTGCTGCTCCTGATGGACAAAAAATCAACACAAGATGATGCAACCATCACTTTGTTTCATGTTACTTCCTCTTCACATTGTGTTTTGCATTTGGCACTAAAATGTTTGAATTTGTTCTCATTTAACCACTGCACTAAAACTTTTATCCATTTATGTTAGCAACGTGAGTATTTAAGCACTCAATTTTAAGTTATTTCATAGTAAGAATAAAATACCTTTACCTTCAGAATAATTGAGGAAAACATTGTTCATAACGTGAATGACAAATCACTTGACGACATTTGAAAAGCTGTCCTTGAAAAAGCTTAAAAGCATTTGTGTCCCTGGAAGTGGCTCCAAATTTGAACCCTGTTCAGCTTTCCTGCAGTAGAAAATGTCACTCAGCAGAACAGGACGTCTGCGGAGAGAAGGTTCAAAATCAGTCATGCTGAGCTGGAATTTCCAAAATCAACGGTGGGTGTTGCTAGTTCAGGAAAAAATAAATCTGTAATGAACGTAACTCCGACCTGCCAGGCTGAGCTAATCCTCCAGTGCTGCTTTATAGGTCATCCATCTGAATGCCAGATTACTGTTTTTGTCTTCACACAACCTGAAGCAGGTAAGTCAATCACAGTTCTGTTAAAGGAAAAAAAAAAACTGATTTATCTCACAAACAGAATTTTGTTTTCACCCTTTTGAACCCAAGAAGGAAGTAAGGCTGGTGCCAGAGAGCGGTAACAAAAGAAACATGACCTATAGCAAAAAACTAAAAAACATTGGAGCAAACCTTCAGAAGAGAAAAAAAAGTGTTTTCTACTCCTCTGCATATTTCTTTGTCCCTCCAGCCCTCCCTCCTCATCCTCCCCTCCCTTCGCCCCCCCCCACTCTTTCTAATTTTCCTGAGGACGGAGGTGCCTGCCTGCCTGGCACATGACATTGATTTCCATCAGCGCTTGGAAATAACCTTAGAGCCGTTGCCAGGACAACCCGCATCTACCTTTTCACATTTTTGCATATTGCCAGTGAGTTTTTTATTTATTTTCTTTCACCCTCCTCACAGCCTGTCTTTCTTCACTGCGTCGGCCACTGCTCACAGAGCGACGGGAAGACAAATGCTCTCAGGTAAACGGGTGGCGTTACGGGGAGGTGGAGGTGGAGGGGCGGTGTGGGGTGATTGCTGTGGTTGGGTGGGTGGCGGTTGAGGAGAGAGATGGATGGTCATGCCAGGCCAGAACAGGATGGGCTGTGGGGACTGTGGCATGAAATGTGTGTGCATCTATGCGATGTGGGGGAGGGCTAATGATGTCTCCACCCTGAGGGGGGTCGGGGGTGGGGTTGGCAAGAAGGAGGAACAATAAAACACAAGAGCACCGACACCGATGGACTTCTGCCTCCTAATTAACTAGCATGATGAACAAAAGCGGATGGAATGGAGAAGAAAGGAGAGATTAAGGATTAAATTTGGAGGTGTGAGAAGAAACAAAAAAACAACAAGTACCCTTTGAACTTTCTCACATTTTCTATTATAAAACCATAAGCCTCAATTGTGTTTTGAACACAGAGTAATGCAAAAATCTTCAGTGTGGCAGGCAATTGGGTTCAGTCCTCCATCAATTTTTCCCATCAGACGTCCTGAAGAGAAACATTCCCACAGCATGATCCTGCCCCCACTATGTTTCACTATGAATTCCCAGGATTTTCCAGTTTTAGTTTTTCATTTCTACAGCATTTCATATGTAGGTCAAAATTTTCAGTTTTGATCCTATCTGACCCAAGTCTTCCACATGTCGCCTACATAAGTGGACACAAATCCCCTATATGTCATACATAGATTGTCCATAAATGGGAAAATGGAAACCCTTATAAACGTCAGTCTGGGACATTTTCACAGCTTGGCACACCTACTTAGATATTTATTCAGAAAGTTTTTTTTTTTTTTAATCTTCTTTCATTTTATAGTTATGCACTTACTTTGAGTTGCACTACCAGATAAACCCTCCAACAAAATCCATTGATGGATCCGCTTTAAATGTCAAAAACTGTAAAATTTAAATGTGGAATACTTTTGCAAAGCACTTTATGTTACAGACTTGAACCAGCCGGCTATCAGTGCCCTGCCACTCACAATGTCAGACTCTGACAGTCATCAAGTTTCTCCCCTGACAGCGCACGTTTGTTCATGTGCATATGATGTGGCGTCCGTTGGGTTGGTCATTTACAGTTCAGTGGTGTGGAGAGGCTGGTTTTAGCGCTAATGTTAAAGTATCTGGAAATCTGTATGAGCACAGGAGAAACGGGGTGTGTGAATGTGTGCGGTGGTGGGGGGCCGGCTGTCAAACCGTCAGTGTGTGTCATGAGAAATGATGATGCACACACACAGAGAGAGAGAGAGAGAGAGAGAGGGCAGGCCACCAAGAGACCGCCCTCCACCTGCATCGTGTGCCTTTTGATTTCTCTCCTCCATCCCAGCATCAACACCTCAGCCAAAGTGCAGCCATGGGGAAAATTAATTTCTTATTACCTGATTATACTATTTGGTTTCAGCTGGAATGTCACTTGAATATTCCACATCAGCATTTCATCAATAAGGTTGCTGGAAGGTAAAGAGAGGCAAAGTGTTGAAGCCGGGCAACAGGGCGAGCCGGCCTGAAGTTCTGCAATGGCTGTTCTAAAGAATAAAGACCGGCACTGGCAGTATGCCGACCTGGGCAGAAAGCAATTTGCTCAAGTGCTTTTCTGTCTTATCTGCCCACTACAATCACACACACACCTACACACACACGCACGCACACACAGACTTACACTCTTGAATGTGCACAAACATCAAAGAGGAGCAAGGCTCGGCCAGTCAATCCACAAGGGGGTTTAGAAGTTTTACTGGAGCTGAATGTCCACCTTCATACACATTTTATGTCTCACTGAGGTTTTTCTCATCCAGCCAGCGCTCGTATTTACCTTTTATCCCCATCTCTGCTCCGACACACAGAGGATTTAAGACTGATGGCCGAGCACACCCTGCCTCCCCCTTCCCTCTCACATCTCACAAGAAGCACAATCTGATGGATGAATTTAGAGGCCGACAGGTGAAGAAAATGAAAGATGATATTCTGAAAACACCAGATTGTAAGGCAAAAAAAAAAAAAAAAAAGAGACATTTTGAGTCTACATCAATCTCATGTATTGTATCCCTACAGCTCAAACGTCTTAATAAGTCCCGGAAAAGAAACAAAACTGATCATCACAAAATTCATGAGGTCCAGAAAATCTGAACTTGGGTGCGTTTCCTCCTTGAGGGCATTGCTATTATTTTACTCATCCCCTTCGCAACAAACATACAAACTCAAGACTCCTGAAAAGGGCAAATTTGCATACCTTCCATAAGGAGGAAAATCTGATCATATAAATGTAAATAAGGTGAGCTTAACTTCTATTTTCTGCAGAAAACAGTGAACCGATAACACAAGGGAGCAGTGGGCAGAGCTCGATGGAGTGGAAAGGGCACCGAGATGCTCGTGAATTTGTATATACATTAATGTCAGGGATGAGGAAGAGGACAATATTTTTATTTATTTCGCACCTCCACCTTCCAATGCTATGTTGATATTTAAACAGCAGGAAGCACTGCTGCAATATCTGCAGCACACATCCAGAGACGAGCTGCTTTTGGAAAGTGACAGACATACTTACTTTACAAAATCCCTTTTCTGTTTGGTTTCATGTTAAATATTTCCTCAGAAATCAAACGGATCTCTCAACGCAAACCACTCGTGGTCTTACTCAAGACAATAACGAGATCTGCATCTTGAAGAAGCACAAACCCAGGTTTCTTTGTGCAACGTTGATTTTTCTTTACCGCGAACAACAAGAAAAACACCTATTACAAAACAAACCAACTCATGTGAACAAGTACAATGTCACTGGATTTATTGCTTTTTACTTCCAGTTTTGTTCACTATTACTCTTAGAAATATGTCAATAAACAACACAATCACTCATAATAACCAATTATGAAATAGTCTATTCAATGCCGTACAAAAGATATTGAACATTTTTACATCTTGTTACGTTACAAACTAAACTTCGATGCATCGTATTGGGAGTTTACAGACCAACAAGAAGGAAAAAGATAAATGTTTCTTTTTTAATTCTTCTAATTTAGATTATTGGGTCCATGTTGCAATGTTGGAGTTTCATTCATAGTGATTCTCTAGCAGAAGTGTTTATCTGAGGATCAAATTTTGGATCTTACAATGGCAATTTTAACAATATTGGAGCAATATTTTTCAGAGGAAGTGGCTTTCCAATAACAATAAAATGAAAGTCAGATTGTGTGAGGGGATGTACGAAAAAAGAGAAACCACAAAATGATTTTTTTATAGATCTGAAGCTGATTGAACACACACAGCGAGAGTATCCTGATTTATCCATTTAAAGGTTTGGACTTGGATCACACAGAAAAGCTCTCTAATCTCTTTACAAATTTACTTGAACACCTTTTGCCTTTTTTTTTTGTCTCTGTTATTATTGTTTTCTAAAGTTATCAGCATGAACCAATGTCAAAAATGTGCTTTTTTCCCCCCAAAAAACAGATGTTATCTGATAAAATATCAGTGAACATCCTTCTTCAAATAATTTATTTGAGCTAAAACCCTTTATTTAGCTTCAAGGCATGTTTCCAGACTGAATGTAATTGAGACAGAGTAAAGTTCATGGCTGAAAAGATACAAGACAAGCATTCTATTAGCTCGCTTTGGGACATGCAGCTCCACCAAGAAAGAAAATGAAAGGACAATGTCTCCGGCTGTATGCATGCTGCAGGCTCAGATCTGATTATTTCCCCCCACCTATTGTGAACCAGAATTTGATCCTCTCGTTTCTGTCCAAACAAACACTCAATCTGATTTTCCCCTAGCTTTGACGCACAACGAAAACAGCGGTTGGAAAGCGGGAGCAGAAGGAAAAGAAAAGGAAAATTGGCTTAAGGGTCTGGTTTCATTCTAGCTCAGAGCAGCACAAGCCGCAGAGGAACAAAATGTAATTCATATTATCGTGACCTCGAAGGGGGTTTCATCGCAGTGTGACTGTGAGGATGCCAACTGGGTCAATGGTGCATGAAACTGCCTCCTTTTATTGGCATGGCATTCAATCAGTTCCTCCTGGGTATATGTCCTTGGCTGTGCAGTGGGGGCCACTCATTACGGCTCTCCTTGCACCTGCTAGCATCTCACTGCCTCCCCGCCCTTATTTCAATCCTTGCATAAATACAATCAGTCCTGTCAGGAAAGCAGGAGAGCTCACCATCATCCACAGTCGTCTCTGACTGATTATGCAGAGTATAATCAGTCCTCCCATTTCTTCCAGTGTCTTTGAATTCCACTGGAGCTGGCCGAGTGCCAGCATCTGCTCACCCGATACCGTCATCCCCCACACCTCACCCCCTGTATGCATCTTTAAGCAATAGCACAAAAAGACTAGGTAAGGTCTTTTTGTGCTAAAAACAAAAAAGCACACTATATGTCATCCTTATACACCGAACAGAGACAAGTCAGATACCTCATTTCACCACAGTGCTGTAACCAGGAGGCAAACGGCATGTATGGTGCCTTGTAAGAAAATTTGTACCCCTTTTGTGACGT